CTGCATCTGGCATAGAACCAGGACGAGAGGGCCCCTCTCATACAGCAGACACTTGGACAAGAGGCCAGAACTAATTTCCATTCAACATACATCATGTTTGTACATGCACTGAGCTGGATGAGGCAGGCACCAAAGTTAGGAATTTTACAAGGGACATAAAACTCCAGGCAAGGGCTAGGGTAGGGCTCATTTGTCTGTGCTTTGCCAAGCATGTGCAGTGCTCATCCGTCCTAGAACAGGAGGACTAGGGAGGAACCTACGTCAGGAAAATATGACTTTCACAACTCCCTCCATAGCTTCTAATGAGCCCACCAGTATCACACCACCTTTCCCCCTTCCCTTTGTCAGAAGTTAATTAGACTGTATCCCAAGAGAATAAAAGCCCCCAGTATCCCCAAGAAAATAAAAGCCCCCAGCTTCCTTCCTCACTCAGTATTCTCTGTTCTTCGCAAACTCCATGTCCTAAGAGCCTGCCCCTCCCCTCATTCCTATTGCTGTGAAGAGACACCATGACCACAGCAACTCTTACAAAGGAAAACATTTAATGGGTGGCTTACATTTCAGATTAGTCCATTGTCAAGGTCATCACGGTGGACATGGCAGGCAAGCAGGCAGACATGGAGCTGGAGAGGAAGCTGAGAATTCTACAACTTGTACCGGCAACAGGAAGTGAACTATCTCACTGGGCATGGTTTGAGCATATATGAGCCCTCAAAGCCCACCTCCATAGTGACACACTTCCTCCAACAAGACCACACCTCCTAATAGTGCCACTCCCTTTGGGGACCATTTTCTTTCAAAGCAGCACACCCTCTTTAAAAAAAATTCCAGTGCTGGCCATGGTAGCACACACAAGTAATCCCACCATTGAGAAGGCCGAAGGATCTCTGCAAGTTCAAGACTAGCCTGGTCCACATATAGAGTTACAGGACAGGCAGACTACATAGAGAGACACTGTTTCAATTTTTCTTTTCACTAAGTGAGATGGCTTAGTCTAGCTCAGTGGGTAAAGGTTGCCAAGCCTGACAACTGAATTCCACTCCTGAGAGAGAACTGATTCTTTGAAAGTTGTCTTTTGACCTTCACATGTGCACCATGACCTACAGTAAATTTAAAAAAATAAATCAACTGAACATGGTGACGCACACCTTTCATCCCAGCACTCGGGACACTCGGGAGGCAGAGGCAGGCAATCTCTGAGTTCCAGCACAGCCTGGTCTACAGAGTGAGTTCCTGGACAGCCAGGGCTACATAGTAAGACTGTATTAAAAAAAAAAAAAAGTAACAAAAAATCATCAGTAACCAACTTCCAAAATGAGTGGGTCCTGACTTTTGATGAATTAAGAAAACATTTGCTACTACAAAAACATAGTTTCCAAAACTTTAGTCTTGTAACAAAAATCAATGTCATGTCCCAAAGCATGGCCCCGATTAACGTGACACAGGGAAACAGATTCCTCTCTCCTGAGACTGTACTACTTCAACATGTGAGTTTCACTTATTGCAATGCCAGGCAAGTGCTCCACCACCGAGCTACACCCCCAGCGCCCTTTCTTTTCTTCATTTGGAGACAGCTTCACTAAGCTGCCCAGGCTGGACTTGACTCACTCTGACCTGGTGAGTCCTCTGCCTTGGTCTCCCAGTAGCTGGAAGTACAGGCCTGTCTAATATACAGATTCAAAGGTCATTAAGCTTAAGGTTATCTATAGCAAATCTAGAAGCAAAGTCCATGAAAAATGCCCCTCAAAATGTTTCCTTGGTTTTTGCTTTTAATGTTTAAAAAATATTTTTATTTATTATTTATTTTGTGTATATGGGTTTTTGTCTGCATGTATGTTTGTGCACCACATTTGTGCCTGGCACACTTGGAAGCTAGAAGGGGACATCAGAACCCTTGGAACTGGAGTAACAGACAGTTGTTAGCTACTATGTTGGTGCTGGAAATTGAACTCAGGTCGTCTGGAAGAACAGTCAGTGCTCTTAACCAGTGAGGCATTTCCAAGGCCATATTTTAATTATTTATTTCTTTGTTTAGTTAGTGTGTGTGTGTGCGCGTTGTGAATTCAGGTGGCATGGGTGCCACTGTTACACGTGGAGACTGGAAGATGAATTTCAGTGTTTCTTTTGTTGTCTCTGCTGTGCCGGCTGGCTTGGGAGGGTCAGCGCTTCTCCCGTGTCCACCATGACATAGAAATGTTAAGATACACAGTTAGGTGCCTATCATCACATCATCCATGTCATCACATCCATGTCATCACATCAGCCATGTCATCACATCATCCATGTCATCACATCATCCATGTCATCACATCATCCATGTCATCACATCATCCATGTCATCACATCATCCATGTCATCACATCCATGTCATCACATCATCCATGTCATCACATCATCCATGTCATCACATCATCCATGTCATCACATCCATGTCATCACATCATCCATGTCATCACATCATCCATGTCATCACATCATCCATGTCATCACATCCATGTCATCACATCATCCATGTCATCACATCCATGTCATCACATCATCCATGTCATCACATCATCCATGTCATCACATCATCATGTCATCACATCATCCATGTCATCACATCATCCATGTCATCACATCATCCATGTCATCACATCATCCATGTCATCACATCCATGTCATCATCACAGCCATGTCATCATCACAGCCATGTCATCACATCCACCTTTGTCAAATGGCTCCCAGAGACTGAGATCATATTGTTAGGCTTGCTCAACAGATGCTTTAACCTGATGAGCCATCTTGCCACCCCTGTGTGTTTTGTTCTGTTGAGACAGGGTCTCCTACAATGAAAACTGACTCCCAGACTGGGTGCATAGCTAAGGATGACCTTGAGCACTCGATCTCCCACCTCGGACTTCCAGGTTGATTCCAGCTGTGTGCTACCCCAGTTTATGTAGTGCTGGGGATCAAACCCAATGCCTTGTGCAGTTTTTTGTTTTTGTTTTGTTTTGTGGTGTGTGTGTGTTAAGTTGAAACTAATGTGTTACTTTAAGTCCCTCTCTAAAATGACCACTTCCCAGGCCCATTTCTGAATCTTGGCTTTATCCTAGAGTAAGCTTTTTCTTCCTGTCCCAATCTTGGCAAACTATCCAAATCAAATATACCCTTCAGAGTCTATATTATTCTTTCAATGAAATACTTGGGACATCCAGCATAGCCCCGACACATGCTTGTTGATCGATGTCACTTCCTGTTGCCCTGCGCCTTCCCTGAACATGGAAGCTCAGTGGATATCTATCCTCTGACTGGTACCACTGCTCCTTACAACAACAGAGTCTGAAACCACAGAGCATAGTGTGCTGACTGCTGAAACTTGAACCCTGGATAACCCAGCGAGCTCCTCAGCTGTCCGTGCCTCACTCTTGTATGTAAAATGAGAATAATAATAGGGCCTACATTACATGGCTGTTTAAAAACACTGTAAGCGCCCCCAAATATATAAGTTGTTATTATTTTTAGCTCTTCTTGAGGCTGAGTATTTTTATAGGCTTTAATTCTGATGGAAGACAAAAATGAACATTTGAGACTCGAGTCTTTGGACAGGCTTCATTCTCAGCTCCCCTCCAGCAGCTTGTGCTCATAAATCCTGACTAATGACACAGATATGTCGCCTTAATGTTTGTGCAGCCCAGTGACTTAATGTTTAAAGATGAAAGGCGCCCAAGGACAGCACCAAATACCCTATCCACTACAGAAAACCATGGGAAAGGAGAGGCGCCAGAACCTACTGCAGCAGATGATTCAATCAGGCAGCTAGGAAGAGGACAGCATCCTTAGACTGCAACTGTTTGTGTATTTATTATTTGTGAGACAGGTTCTCCCACATAGCCCACAAACACATTGAAATCTCCAGCATTGCTTTGCTTCTACCTCTTCAATTGCTGGGATTACAGGTGTGTCCACCACACCTCACTTAATCATTTAGAAAATACAGAGACAGGGAGAAGTTTGAACTCTTCAAGGGTTGGAGGTGACCCATAGGAGTGAGGAACGCCCAAGTCCTTAAGTGACTTGGGGTGTGGGAACAGTGTGAATGTTTCACCTTTTCTAAATAAAAAAAAAAAAAAAAAAACCCATAGCAACAACTTGTATACTTGTATTGTTACTCTAATTGACTTAAGCCAGTTAAAAGGCTTGGGCAAACAGGCTTCTCTAAGTAGCTTGTTTGTGAGCTGTGACAGGTCCTACATTATGCCAAGCTCCCTTTTCAACCACGTGCTTCTTATTCCACAGCTCCCAGTCACCACCTCAGGCAATGCACCCTCTCCCTAGACGTAGAAGCCACACTAGGGTAAGCACGTGCAGGTGTGTGTGTTATCAGACTCCTTGGTACAGAAATCCTCACACTGGAACAAGATTAAGCTGTGAGACTTTTTACAAGATCTGTCAACCCTGAGGTCAGAGCAAGTTAAAAATAAAAAAATTAATAACCGTTACCACCACTGTGAGTTCCCCATCCCCAAGGTGATGAGCCAGGGTGTATAGCTCATATCTAGGATCGAGCCTGGCAGAGTTCTAGGGTTTCATAGCCTTAACACTATATGGTTTCTTAAACAAGTGTCTTCTTTTGTAAGTGGATATAACACTACAATCTATCTAGTAAGTAACTTCCAAAGCGAACAAGAAGGCTGTGCTGGAAGTTGCTGTCCCGCTGAAAACACAGTACAGAACGCATTAAAGCCTTCAACCCTATACTAAGCACGGTACGAACCAAAAGCCACCACAAGATCAGCCCGCCCTTCCTGAGGAATCATGGGCCGTGAAGTCCTTTGGTTGCTACACCCTCCTGAACTGCCTGGGAAGTGAGAACTACATCTCCCAGGATGTCACGCTGAGTCTAACACCACCACCCCCAGCCCCGCCCTCTTCCCCGCCCATCGCGCGCAGCCTCCTGGGATTTGTGGTTCTGGAGGTACAGAACTGTATCGTGTCAAGTTACAGAAGAACCACACGCCCCAGAAGCTCTTGCGCCACTCTTCCCCTCCCCTCCTGAAGTCGGGTGCTGTTTTTGTTGTTGGTGAAAGGTGAGGGGAACAGCTGATCCGTCTGTGGGGTAAGAAACTTGGCCTAACTGAGGGTGGGCTTATGTGGGGGTGGTCAGTCCGCTTCTTAGCCTGGGAAAGGCTAATCCGAGAGAACTGTAGGAGAGGACGGTAGGAGAGTTTAGGTTTTAATACTTTACGCACTTAAGAAGCCAGCCCCACGTTTCGGGTGTTGTTGGTTTCAAGGGGGCCTTGAGGGTTAGCCCCCGCATGGTCCTCACTCTCTTGTGAGATCTTCTCTGTAAAGCTCGATCTACTTATAGAAGCTTGAAGGCACTGAAATATTCGCTTAATCTTTTCTAGGCAAGTCGTTGCCCTCACAGACCTTCCCTCTCTCACCCATATCCAAAGATCCAAAGGCCTTTACTGCACTGAGGGGAAAACTTCCAACTTGTAGAATGCCAAAACACTTAGACCTACAGTGGGAAGTGACACGCGCGCGCACACACACAGCTTTTGAACATCGGTAACTGACCACATACACTTTAAGTGTCCAGGACTTTCAGTCACGGAGATTGTTTGCAGCTGTTACAGATTTTTTTTTGTGGGGAGGGAGGGGTTTGTGGGTTCTCGACGCGTGGAGCTTTGTAGACAGTTCACATTCACCCTACCCTCAGAAGAGCTGTGTTTGAAGAAAACAAGCTGGATGTAATGAGGGATTTTTCAGAGATGGAAATAAAAAAAAATTGACATTGAAACAGGTTTAGTCCAGCTCTTTTCAAGGAAGAAATTGTTCGCTTTTGCATTTCTGGCCCACCTTTCTCCCTCCACGGAGTATCTAATTTCTTTTAAAGTTTCTCCCCACCGTCTCAGCCTGGTGTGGGTTTGTGATGTTTGGGGTGTGCATATGACTAGTGAGGGGTGTTGGACACATCAGCTGCACCTGGCACAGGAAGCGGATCTGCAGGCTGGAGAGAAGAGGGCTGCCTCACAGCTCTCGACTGGAGAGTAGTTTATTTTTAAAGTTGACATAAAATGAATTTCATTATGACATTTCAAGCATGTACATCATCTGTTCTTACTCATCTGTGAGTACTTTTGTTTTTGATTTCAGCGTGTTTGTGTCATGTGTATGTGTGTGTAGACACAGGTGTGCAGAAGTCCCAGGACAACCTGGGGAAATCTGTTTGCTCTTACCCATGTAACTCCCAGTGAACTCAAGTTGTCGGGCTTGGTGGCAGGCACCTTTCCCACCAAGCTCTCCCACCCCGTCCTATGCTCCTGATTCTTACCTCTCCTTGCCCACTCCATGGTTTCCAACTAACTCTCCTGGCTAAATTAGAACTTCCTTCCCGCTCCATCCTACCTGTGTAGCCTTTGTCACCAGCCCAAGCGTAGGGCAGGATTTAGACGCTTAGAATTGAGGCTAAGAAGAGCCAGCAGGGAATAGAGAGGGGATACGAGAGTTTAGTTAACATCCAATCAAATCACTGCGTTTCTAGTTCTGCTCTGGGCAAGATGTGGGGGGAAAAAAGAATGTTCCTTGTACGCTCACCCTTTTCTCAACATTGAATGTACATTTCCCCTTCTTGGGGCCCCTTATTTACCCAGTTTCCAACCTGTTCCTGGCCTAAGGGTGGAGCTTTCCTGGCTCCAGGCCCCCACATTCCATCTCCCCACACCCCCACCTTCCTGCTGAATATTTCACTCCACCCTTGAACTACCACCTCCAGAATTTTTGACTTCCTGGAATAGAATTTGAGGGACAGAACTTGTCTTTCCCATTCTCCTCCTCTCTGGTTCTCAGAGGAAAGCCCAAGTGTGCTTTCTTCTGCTTCCGTGGAGTTGATCAGGACCGACAACTTAAGGACGGGTGCGCTAAGATCAGAGGCGCTATAATCAGGATGCTGGTCCCTGAACCATATTCTAGCTCTGAACTCCGTGTCATCAGAGATTAGTTTTTGTTTTGGGGATCTTACCTGGGTACTCTAAGGTCAAGAAGCTTAGGCACATGTAGGGGAGACCTGCTCAGACTGGATTTTCAGTTCCAAAGCCAGAAGGTCCAGGGAGTTGGGTGGAGAAACCAAGAGAATTTGGAACTCCCAAGGATGTTGAAAACTGAATAGGAGGGACAGCCGGGACAGAGACTTGGTCAGTGGGGCAGCAAGAAGGACTAGGAATCAGATAAGTGAGGGCCTGTACGCCCAAAGGTCAACATGACAGGGTGGGGAGTAGACACGGAAGGTAAGACCTGTGCCTCAGAGATTAAGAGTGATACCTTAGGGGTGGAAACCAGGGGTGTCCTGTGTGGACAAGGATTGTGGATCTAGAGGGAAGCTGATGGAAAGACGTAAGTATGCCAACCCCTTTTTCCATAGGACAGCAGGCATCTTGACGGCAGGATGGAAGAGTCATCCCTGAACCGGGCACCATCCCGGGGTGGAGTCAACTTCCTGAATGTGGCCCGGACCTACATCCCCAACACCAAGGTGGAATGTCACTACACTCTGCCTCCAGGCACTATGCCCAGCACCAGTGACTGGATTGGCATTTTCAAGGTATCCCCAGACCTTCTTCTGGCTGAGGCTTTTGGGACACAGGTTGGTTAGAACGAGAGGTTGATAAGGAGAAGGGTGACACCGAAGCCAGACAACATCTGTGTAAAGTTCACCTCCCCACCTCAGCCTTCTCATGCCTCGTAACATACTCCCCAACTTTACCTGAGTCTTAGCATCCTCGGTACCTCTCGTCCAGTCACGCCAACCCTTCTGTCACGAACGAGTGGTGTCTGTCACCACACCTTTCTCTTTCAGGTGGAAGCAGCCTGCGTCCGGGATTACCACACATTTGTATGGTCTTCAGTGCCAGAAAGTACAACCGATGGGTCCCCCACCCATGCCAGTGTCCAATTCCAAGGTATGAAGAAAAATGAGAAACAAATGGCGGAGCCACAGAAGTGGTACTTTGGGAGAAAGTGTTGGGCTAACAGGCATAAGAAGTACAGAGGATGAGGAAATGGGATGCAGGTAACTCCTCACTGCCGGGCCTGATGGTGTTCCGGTGTCATCCCAGCTGCCGAGGAGGCTGGGGCTGGAGAATACCATGAAGCCAGGATATCAGTGCCAGCCTGGGCAACATACCAGACCCCAACTCAAAATAAATAAATAAATAGGTCTTGTGAGACCTTTTAGCAAGTTATCACAGGATTAGCACCTAGCACTTAAAGAATCCCATAGAAGGATGGCTTTAGAGGATGTTTACCACAAACACTCCCAGTGTGGAACAAGGAAAAGTGTGACATCAGAAAAGAGTGGCCTTAGCAGTCTCAAGACCTAGATTTAGACCCCAGCTCTCTGCGTTACAAGCTGTCTGTCACTGAGCAGGCCCTGCCCGTAGGAACGATACAGGGACTTAAGGTGATCTGGAACGATGGTAGGGAGCGTGATAGATGCTGGCACTCATTGAGTGGCCGTTAGAGTCAGCTAACGAGGAGGAGGGAACGAGTTTGAGAAAGAAGGTGGCTGGACACGGAGCAGGAGGAAGCCTGTGCCAAGGACCACTCCCAAGGGAGTGGGCAGTAGGGTAACTGGGTGTCACCTCTCCTCCCCTAGTAAGAAAAGGGACCTGCTAGCCCTTGAGAGCCAGAGGTGATGCTGGGGTTCTGGGCCATTCTTCCCACAGCCAGCTACCTGCCCAAACCAGGAGCCCAGCTCTACCAGTTCCGATATGTGAACCGCCAGGGCCGGGTGTGTGGGCAGAGCCCCCCATTCCAGTTCCGAGAGCCAAGGCCCATGGATGAGCTGGTGACCCTGGAGGAGGCTGATGGGGGCTCTGACATCCTGTTGGTTGTCCCTAAGGCCACTGTGCTTCAGGTAAGAAAAGAAAACAGACTCACTCCTCAGCCAGGGACACCAAGGACAGCGTTATAAGGGCACCTCATGCTTCACTTTCCCGTCTCTGTCACCTCAACTGATGACTTCACTGAGAGTTACCAAAGGTCTGCTCTCCAGAAACTAAGCCTTCACATAGACACAGACGCTACCATTATCGGCCAGTGTAACTCAGACTTCCTAGAACTGAGCCAGCCTTTTCAGAGAGACACTGCCCTCTGAGTCCTACAGGAGATCCACAGGCTGGAGGGAGGCTGAGAACCACCTCTAGCATGGGTAAGGCAGGGCTCTGAGCTATCCCAGCCCGTACCAGAGGTGCTGACACATGGCTCTTTGGCAAGTCAGATGTGACTGCTCTGATCTAAGGTATAGTCACAGGTAGGATAACACACTACATTTTGAACACTTAGTATTTTAACATTTATTTATTTATGTGTATCTGTGTATGTGTGTGTACATATGTATATTTGTGGGTACATACATACCATACCATAACACATGTGAAGGTCAGAGATCAACTTATGGGAGTTATTTCCAGAGTTGGTAACAAGTACCTTTATCAAAGGAGACATCTTGCTGGCCCAGCTGTGGTACTCTTAACCACCACCCTCAGTTACTTTTCCCAACCCAGGTTTGTGTACATGCATGGATACAGAGACCAGAATGGAGTGTCCTAGAATACTCAGGAGCTGGAGTTCTGGGTGGTTGTGAGCTATCTGATGTAGTTGCTGGGAACTAAATTCTGTCCTCTGGCATAACAAGCTGAGCTGTTCCTCTGGCCCTTGTATCTTACTAAGTGAATACTAGAAAATTTAAACTAAAAATGTGCCTTAAATATTTCCACTGGGCATAGAGAAGATTGTTCAGAGCAAAGGGACAAGGCCGGGCAGTGGCAGCACAGGCCTTTAATCCCAGCATTCAAGAGGCAGAGGCCCGTGGATCTCTGTGAGTTCAAGACCAGCCTGGTCTACAAGAGCTAGTTCCAGGACAGGCTCCAAAGTTACATAGAAACCCCTGTCTCGAAAAAACAAAAAAAGAAAAAGAAAAGAGCAAAGGGACAGGGACGGGTATTGGGAAGAGAATCTGAGGAAAGGTGAGGGACAGGGACAGGTAGGGCAGCAGGAATTCTCCAAATGGGAGAGCAGTTGCTCAGAAGGTGGGAGTTAGTAGCCCCTCGGTGATGTGAACAAAGCTCTGCTCTCTGGAGCCAGAGTCTGATGAGATGCATGGACCAGCACAGTTGGAAGATGTTTCTGCCTGCTGCTGAAGTCCTGCAGGACACTGGCCTCACAGCTGACAAGCTCAGGGGTCTGACTAGTAAAGATCTACGTTGGAGATTCACCCAAGTCTGTCTGACTCCATTGAGATAGGTGAAATAGAACCCCCTTGCCTCACAGACACCCCTTCTCCTCATGCTCTTGCAGAACCAGCTGGATGAGAGCCAGCAGGAACGGAATGACCTGATGCAGCTGAAGCTGCAGTTGGAGGATCAGGTGACAGAGCTGAGGAGCCGAGTACAGGAGCTGGAGAAGGCTCTCTCCACTGCCAGGCGGGAGCATTCAGAGCTCACAGAGCAATACAAGGTGCGGGTTGGGGCTGGTGGGGAATGGGGCCTAGACCATGCCAGGAGGAGAAAGGAAAAATGTCAAAGAAATAGGTTTAAGGGTAATGAGTGAGACTAAACTCTAACAGATAAGAGGTATGTTCCTAGTTTGTAATAAGCCTCGGTTCTTTGAACCCTGGCATTAGTCAGGTAACAGTTTCTCCATTCAGCCTTTTCAAGGAAGGTGGCAGGACAGAGGTGAGGGAATCTAATGTTAAGCCTGAGTCTTGCTCTCACCCTCTGTCTTTCTTGCCTTAATTCCAGGCACTCTCTCGGTCCCATGGGGAGCTCACAGAAGAGAGGGACATCCTGAGCCAGCAGCAGGGAGAACATGTGGCCCGTATCCTGGAGTTGGAGGATGATATCCACACCATCAGTGACAAGGTGCTGATGAAGGAGGTGGAACTGGACAGGTACGGGCACCTCCCCGAGGCCTTCACTCTATCCCTGTTCTTCAGCCCTTCACGATCTCATACAGGGAATTCTAGTTAGGAGGGGTTTCTTTCTGCCAGTCCTCTGTCTGTCTCTCCTAATGCTATTCTGTGTTTCTCATCGTCAGAAAGATCAGTTGTATTTATTGTATGGAGAAGCTAAGCAGAATTAGAGATGGGATATTTACAAGAGGAGATTGCATAGGAATGCACAATAAAAATATTGATTTCAGCCTTTGCTGCAGGGCGATGCATGTCCAAAGTTCCATCTTCCAGGGCAACTCAAGCATCACTTGAGTCTATCCTGGGAAGCACAGCAAGACTTCATAATGTAGTCATATAAATACGTATGTATGTATATGTGTTATATATAACCAAATCACAGGAGAATTAGATTCCATCCTTGTTATTGGAAATGATCAATGTCACAGCTCAGTGGTAAAAACACCTCTGAGTGTGTGCAAGGCCCTAACTCCCAGCACTATAAAAAAGAGAGAGAAATGTTTAAGTTCGTGACCCTGGAGCATGACAAAAGATATAAATCACAGAATCTTTTCATTGGTCTGTTTGTTTTTTGAAACAATCTCACTGTGTGGCTCTGGCTGTCCTGGAACTCACTATGTAGACCAGACTGGCCTCAGACTCAGAAATCCGCCTACCTCTGCCTCCTAAATGTTAATACTAAAACCGTGGACCACCCTGCCTAAGTTACAGAATCTTAACACCGAGAGTGACATAGGTACTCTCAGGGCAGCCTCTGTCGGTGTCAAACAGCTGTCGCTTCTGTGTCTATAGAACCAAGCTCTACTCACTGGAGAGGCAGAGGCAGGAAGATCACCAGTTAGACCAGCCTGGGCTGCATAGTGAGTTTTAGGCCAGCCTGGGCTACATGGTGAGTTACAGCCTGAGCTAATGAGTTATAGATCAGCCCAAGCTACTTAATGAGTTACAGACCAGCCTGGGCTGCACAGTAATTTGTAGACCAGCCAGGGCTGTGTAACAGATAAGTTCCTGAAAAGAAAGAAGAAGAAAAAAAAAAAAACCACAGACCACAGTTATCACAGTTACATCCATCAACTAGCATAAATACTGACCAACATCCATGCCTGTCTTTCAGATTCTTTACTATGTCCAACACTCCAAATCTTTTTTTTTTTTTTTTTTTTGAGGCAGGGTTTTGCTGTAGCTTTGGAGCCTATCCTGGAACTTGCTCTTATAGACCAGGCTGGCCTTGAACTCACAGAGATCCCGCCTGCCGCCTGCCTCTGCCTCTTGAGTGCTGGGATCAAAGGCGTGGGCCACCACTGTCTGGCCACTCCAGTTCTTTTGTTTATATCACAGAGTATCAAGTCACTTTGATTCACCTCAGCATTGTTGGTTTTTTAACAACCGCTGTAATCTTTGTGAAGGAAAGAGCAGCTCTGCCGAAGTCTCAGGCAGTCAGGAAAGCATCTGAGAGGTTGCTTCATAACATACTCCCCTTACCCTCGTCAGTACAATATGTCTGTGTTGGCAGAGACACCTGGACCAGGGGTCCACAGACTATGCCTCACATAACCCATCTAGCCTACCACCTGTTCTTACATGATTTGGAGGCTAATGATGAAATAAAAGAATCATAATATTTTATGGTAATGGAAATGATATGATATGTCAGGTTCATTAAGTAAGGTTTTATTGGGCCATGCACATCTTTGTACACACTTTCTGTGGCCTCTCCCAAATCTGCCCTGTCTGATCTATGACAGGTTTAGAATCAATAGTGATTGTCTGTTGTCTTTGAAAGCCTGGATTTTCAACTCTTAATTGAGTGGAAACGGAGCCATTGCTAGAACATCCTGTACAGTGGTCTATAAAGAGGAAGTTGGGCGGTGGTGCACACCTTCATCCCAGCGCTCCTGAGGCAGAGGCAAGTGGATCTCTATGAGTTCAAAGCCAGCCTGGTCTACATAGTGAGTTGCAGGGCATCCAGGATTGTTACACAGAGAAACCCTGTCTCAAAAACCAAAAATAAAAAAGGAAAGAAAAGCAGTTTTTGACTATGCTCTAGAAAATTGCAGGTCAGAGGTGAGGTATTTCAGCCCAGCACTGTTGCCTCATATTGACAGGGTTAGAGACTCAGTGAAGGCCCTGACTCGGGAACAAGAGCAGCTCCTGGGGCAGCTGAAGGAATCCCTGGCAGACAAGGAACAGAGCAAGGTAAGAGATTCCAAGTGGGTTTACTTTCTTTCTTAGTCTTTAAGCTAGTGTTCATTGAGTCCCTTCTAAAAGCTGGGCATCCCTGAGGGTGAAAATGTAAAGGAGACCCTGCGTATTCTTTCCTCCATGGTGCACTGCCTGCCCAAATCACAGAGTGTCACAATAAAAACCTAATCTAGTGCCACAGGGTTCCAGAGAGGTGGATGAGAACACATCTCACTGGGCTTGAGAAGCAACTGTCAGAGGATCCCTGCAACTTGGTGGCCAGCCAGTCTAGCCAGCTGGCAAGTAGAGAACATTTAAGGAAGACACCCAAGGTCAAGACCAACCTCTGGTCTGCGCTGATGCAGGCATGCACATGCGCGCACACACACATAAATGCAAAGGCGATCAAAGCGGGGGTGTAAAGGCCAGGCACTGTGATGTGCTTGTTGTGGTCTAGCACTCAGAAGGCTGAAGCAGAAGGATTCTGAGTTCAAGGTCAGCCTAGGCTGAGACTATCTAGATAGTAGAGAAAGAATGAAGGAATTTAAGCTTTGAACACCTTGAGTCACAGACAGGTAGATGGTAAATGATAGCAGTGTTCAAAGTGTCAACCTTATAGTCCCAGTTTACTCTTCAGTTTGATAGAAAATACAAAGGGAATTTTATTCTGAGGATTACATAAAAATGAAGTAACCTAAAAGCACACATCAATGGAGCAGTGTTCTCCAGTGTGTTGACTTATGTTTTGATGTGTTTCCAAAAACAGTTTTTAATAATTTAGAACAAGATTAGAGCAGAGACTGTAGTTCAGTGTTGAGCAAGGCAAAAAACAAAAATATGATGAATTAAAATATTTGCAGAACCTTCAGTGGCTTTCTCAGAACCCTGGGCTTCTCTAGAAAACTGCTCACACATGAAAAATGGAATTTGAGCAAAGTGTAATTCCAGCACTGGGGAAACTGAGGCAGGAAGATTGCCGTAAGCTTGAAGTAGCCTTGGCTACATAGCAAGACCTTGTCTTCAAAATATAAAACAATAAAATAAAAAAAGTGAACAAAGAAAGATGAAAGAGACAGCCTAAGGGAATGTGCGTATGCAGTGTGAGGGAGGTGGGCATCACCCTGGAGG